CGGCAGGTAGAATGTTTTTTTGAGATTTATTGATAATAGTCTATTATCCAACCATTTTTTGATGTTAACAATTTCGCTTTTAATTTTACTTTCCAAGTCGTCCCATGTATCTCCTTCGTAAAATATATAATAGTATCATCTGCAAAACTTATGATGCTGCCTTCTTTTTGTATTGAGAATAAGTTATTCAAATATATATTGAAGAGCAAAGGCCCCAATACCGTTCCCTGGGGTACACCGCATGATATTATTTCTTTTTTGCTATAGATGGTTTTTATTTTTGTTTGTTGTTCCCTGCCAATTAAGTATGAGCTTAAAAGATCATATGATTTACCCCTCACTCCTAGATCGTCTAAGGTTGATAAAAGAATGTTGTGGTCCACGGTATCGAAAGCCTTTGCTAAGTCTAAAAAAATTCCTATGGAAGGTTTTTTGTTATCTATTCTATAGAACTATATATTTGCTTGGTTAGTTCTTTTATTGCGTCTTGGGTAGATTTATTTTCTGTGAATCCATATTGCGCATCCGACAACAGCTTATGTTTCTTCAGGAGGGAGTTTAATCTTATCTTTACGATTTTCTCCAATATTTTACCGAGATTTGATATTAGAGATATTGGACGATAGTTCGATACTTCCGTTTTACTGCCACTTTTATAAATCGGTACAACTGTTGAAAGTTTGAAAGCGGATGGAAAGTGGCCTCTTGACATTGATTCATTGATGATAAAGGTGAGAGGTTTAGCAATGTGAATTGATATGAGTTTCAATGTTTCAGCTTTCAAACTGTCTGGACCTGGTGATTTTTTATTCTTTAATTGTGAAATTATTTCTTGAATTTCATTTTCATCTGTGGGATGTAGGAATATGGTATGTTCTGATATGACTCTGGTTTCTGTATAGTGCTTATCCTGTTTAATTTTTGCTGCTAAATTTGTACCTACAGTGGTGAAAAATGAATTGAACTTTTTCGATATTATACTTGGATCACGTGTTACATTGCCATTTTCAGTATATATCGATGAAATTTCGTCAAGTTTTCGCGGTTTGGTTAATTCATTCACTACTTTCCATATTCCTTTTGAATCGGCCCCTCCTTTTTCGATAATATTTTTGTAATATTTTGTTTTTGCATCTTTTATTGCCTTCCTAACAACTATTTCATAAGCGTTATATTCGTTTTTCAAAGCATCATTATGTAGATTTGACTTCAACCTAGCATACATCGAATTTTTTTTATTTATAGATTTTAGCAAAGATCCAGTGACCCATGTTTTTCTCTTGATATCCTTGTTTTCAACTTTAATCAATTTGGTAGACCTATCCACAGCACTCTGGACTAATCTAACAAATTCATTTACGCAATTATCCAGATCATCCATTTGTGAAATAGAGTGCCAGTCGGTATTTTTAATATTTTGTATCAATTTTCCCTCATTTATTTGTTTATAGAATTTTGGATTGGTTATGTTTTCTGTTGTGGATTTATTATCGAATATTATCTGTACTAGTGTTGTGTAATGGTCTGTAATACAAGTTTCTATCGTTAATGGAATAATTGATTCGAGGTTCCCTTGCTTTGACTTGATGAAAATGTGGTCTATGCATGTGTCTGATTGCGGCCTGGTAGTAGTATTTATTATTGAAATGTATCCATGTTCTCCTAGCGTGTCTAAGTAAATTTGTGAATTTTCTGTGTTTTCCTTTATATCAATATTTATGTCACCTATGAATACACTATATGTGAAGTTCTTGGGATGATTATTTAACACATTATCTAAGCTTTCAATGAATTGTTCGATTTGACGATTACATGGTGATCTATAAAATGCATTGATAATAATAACTTCTTCACCAATAGCTGCGGTCAGTTGTAGTATATATGTACCATTTATTTCTATTTCTTGGTGAGAATAATATAATTTTGACTTTATGAATATTATTACTCCATCGTTCTGATTTAGCTTTCCATAGTTATAAAGAGTTTTATAGCCTTCAATATTGTATACTCCGATGTCATTTATAATACGTGTTTCTGTAAGTACTATGCAGTCTATTGAAGAATCTAGTTCTTTCAAGAATATAATGAACTCATCTAAGTTTTTCGATATTCTTCGAATATTAGTTTGCAAGATTTTCAAGTTACTGTTGCATTTATTGACTTGTAATACTTGTCTCGCTAGGTGTGCATTTTCTAGAACATAGTTCTCAATTTTTTCTACTTGAAAATCTCTAATGTATGGATTCATTTCCGAAACTTGAGAATTAGACAATAACTTATATTACAGTGAAAATAAAATTCTAAAAGTTATGACACAGTAGCTTGAATGGAACTGTAACATAAAAAATAAAATGTAAATGGTTGATTCTTTATTTTTTCTTTTCTTGGGCTCTGGTGCAGATTTTTTTTTATGGTTCCTGTAGGTTTTGCTGGAGATTCGGGTAACTTCTTTTTTTTTTCGTTGATGCTATTCGATCTTTCTAGGGGTGGAAAGGAGAAGGCTAGAGGATTCAATAGATTTGGTGTTTCTCCCGGAGTGCGTGTCGGGCTAGTGATACCTAATGTTGGGGTTGGTGGTGCACTGTATGATATGACTTTGGAGCTATCATCCATATGCTGATCTTTCTTATTTTTGAGGTAATCATATGAGAATTCCTCACCATTTACAATCAAGATATTGTTTTTTATTCGTGCGGAATATTGTTTCTCCTTGGCAGCTTTCATATGTTTTAGTAGAAATTTCCTTTTCTCGTAGTCTATCGCCTCCCATTCTTCTGATACAGCTTGGATGAGGTTGTCATTATTTTGGGGTCCCTCTCGCCTTCTTGATAGGTTAAGTTTCATTCGGCTCCACACATGATCTATCAAATTCAGATCTGGAGATAATGCTGGTCAGCACATTCTTCCAACATTATTGCTTTCTAGAGTTCGTAATTTGTCAGATAAGTTGTGAAACACTCAGTATATTGAACAACAATACTCTGTGTCTCATACTTGGGCAATAAATATTGGAAATCAGTTGATAAGAATCATCGATATCAGGAAACAAGGTTGAATTGAGAATTTTCATCCTGTATTTCAATAAGAGGTAAATTTTCAAAAACGTCTCGAGTTAATAGTCTAACATGAATATTGGATATCGAGAAGACCCTTTCTGAAAATACTAAATCGAATGGGCCATGGTTTTAGTCACCGTTTTCAATTTTTTTTACTGAAATGAGGTTTTGTCCTATTTTCTTATCTTCCTATATATTCCACAATAGTGCTTTTTTCGTCTCTCATTGTCCTTCACAAGGAGTTCTAGAGAAAAAATTCAAGAAATGCAAGAATCGAAGAAAAATCATTTTTTTTTTCCAATGGCCAATTAGGGAGAAATCACGAAAACGTCCCGAGATGAGGTCCCAGTGTATCGTAATATGAATGATTTTTGATCAGAAAAGAAATCCTCGAGTTCTGGTAGCATTGGAAATTCAAACCATAGTGTGATGGTTCCACTTTACACCCAGTGTAAGTTTTGTTCTGCGGACTTTTTCAGGGTGTTCTAGCTCTCTTTGAAGCCGATGAATTATCACATCTGATATCTAAAACCGCATGAAGGTCGTTCAATTTTTTCAAAAAATACAGGTTTTCGAAATAGAGTCAAATTATGTTTGGTCCATTTAGTGTGTTGAGAACTGTATATAAACGTTTATTATTCAGATTAGAATTTCAGATGAATTCTGAGAAGCGGCCACGTTGTCAACAGAAATCTTGGAAATCATTGAGGTTTCTAACGGACATTCAGATTCATAATGCAAATGTTTCTCGAGTTATAACAAAAAACGGTACCTACCTAATAGTCCATTCCAACTAAGAAGACAGCATTAGAAACCATAGGAAAGTGTTGACCTTAATTTTGAATGGTGAATATTGAAGGCAATATCACACCTGTCTAATATTAAGATTTGTATGACGTGACGTAAATGTTGCAGTTTTCTAAATGGGAAGATGATCATGATCACATTATCAAATAACATTAATCTGTCGTAATTTTTTATGTTTGGAATAATCCTGATATTGAAGTCGAACCCAAAGTCAAATTCATTTATTAGCACGGCGAGGATTTCGAATAAGGCGCCATTTATTAAATTCGTCAATGTGAACATTCCTTCAGAGGCAGCACAACCTACTATCTTCTTATAGTCCAAGAGCAGACTGCAAATTTCGACCGTCATCTGATAACAAAATAATATATGCCCCAGAGCCATGTTAAAACATCATGATTTATCGATCGGCACCTGTGCCAATCACAATCCTGAGTAAAATGATTGAAAAATTGCAATTGCCAGTGCGGAAATTAGCACTTGATTTCGCGATTTGGTAACGAGATAAGAATTGTGCTATTCGACACCAATTGAATGGCAGAGCGTCAATATTTCCAAGAATATTTCGTCCGAAGATAATATCCGATGGACCTGTGTAAAACTTGACAGGTAGATCAGAATACTTGATGTGCCAGCACCACCTGAGTTTCACACTGGTCCATCGGATATTATCTTTCGACGAGGGCACCATATTCTCGGAAATATTGACGCTCTGCCACTAACTTACATCAGTTTGAATCGGGACACGTATGGATATTCGCAAAGGGCACACTTCTCCCTTCTACCTGTTTCAACTCGTTATCACATGACGGAAGTATGTCCGGAATAATAGCAGAAAATAAATCGCTGTGCCGTGGATTTGGCTCAGACTGAGTTGTGGTACAGGTAGGTTTTTGAGATCTATCATTTAATTGGAATCGAATGGCATAATCCTTATCTCTTCCACAAATCGTGATGCCGAGTGCAAATTTCCGCACAGGAAAGTACAATTTTTTCGTCACCATGCTCAGGATAGTGTTTGGCACAGGTGCCGTTTGATAAACTACAGTGTTCCCACATTTCTTTGGGACATATATTATTTCGTTTTCAGATGACGGTCCAAATCTGCAATTGGCTCTGTAACTAATAAAACATCACTTACAGCCTAAAGTTTTCCATGTTCATCGCCTCAGACCAAGCTCCGTGTCGGGCACCGTCCATTTCAGTAGCCACTTCTTGTCCAGGCAACAATCTATGATTCTGACCTCCGATAGGAGCTTTGCACTCATAGCACTGGGACACTTGCATCGCTCCTCCACACTCCCCAATGGCGTAAGGATGGCCGTTGGGGCACTTAAACCTATAATATGAATTTACGATACGTGTATAGCACTAGTATATCACATAACTAGTGTGGAAAGTGACATATTTCGAGTGAGGGGTGTGAAATGAGCAGTATACCCGCACACAGACCGTATAGACCGAGAAGCAAGTGGCAAAAAAATTCAACGGTTTTCTAAAGGCTGAAATTTCGATATTATAGACCGGCAGTTAGTGACAAATTTTCCGATGTGATTTCACCCAGTATGCTTTTTGGAGGGTATCATCATGTACACCATTTGCCAAGTAGTTTCAGGCCTTCCCTGTAATGACGGAAGGAAGATTCATTAAGGCCGATTCTGCTTAGGTTGTTTAGAAGCAGTAGTCTCTTCTGGTTGTGAAAAATATATTTTCTTGGAAGAAGATTCATTTAGGCGGAGTTTGGTAATATTTTAGTTAGTCAAAATAGTCTTCCTTCTTAGGCATATGCAGAAAGGATATTTTTCTTCCTCAACTCTCCGGCAAACAGAGTAACGGCTGAAAATGGAAGTTACGCTGTTACGCTGTTTGCCGACAATACGTGAAATGACTAGGCATTTCATAGAATGACGGATTTCAGTAATTGACACCGACATATATATTTAGATGTTGAAAAATGATATATGAAAGATCCTCCCGGATGCTTCATGCATTGAAGTTAATTAACATCATTGTTTGCAAATTGAACGTTTTTACACAAAAGTCAAGCTGCCTGTGTTCAAAAATGAAATATGAGTGATATGAGTAGTTGAAAATACGAGTGTGGACACGCTTGTCACCACTGACATTTCCGAATAGGGAAGTGGACTAATTTTGTTTATTTCATAAATAGGATTATCACTCATGAATCAAAACATTCAAAAACACTAACAGTTGTCATTTCTGTGTCCGTACTTTTATCTAACTAATAACATCCAGTGACACCAATTATCAGTTTTTCAGAGACATACATCCTTTTGGACAATGCCGTGCGTATTTATCAAAATCGAAAGGGGTAAATTTTTCATGGAATCATATTAGGAATTTTGTTACAGGAAAGTTGACCTCATAATATTGTTCTCTAGGTCTCAAACCATCATATGTAAATGTTTATATGATTTCTGTGTTAGGTATTTTTTCGTATGAATTGAAACATGCTTCACTAAGACCAATATTAAAAAGTGGGGATGCTGAAGATTCAGAAAATAATAGACCAATAAATATATTGAGCATATTTTCAAAAATATTTGAAAACATTTTGAAGAAGCGTATTGTAAATTTCATAAACAAAAAATATAGTTTTGATAATAATCAGTTCGGTTTCCAAGAAAATAGTGGTACACAAGCAGCGGTATAATAAGTAGAACTAAAAATTGAAGGACTTGATATGGGAAATTTCGTTGTAGCTATTTTCATTGACCTCAAAAAGGTATTTGATACAGTCGACTATAAGAATATCTTAGAATACTTGGAATCGATGGGAATATCTTTTGGAATCTTATCTTGCAAATAGGACAATCAGCACTTGATGTAATATGTCAGTCTCATAGACTTCCAATAAGATAAGGTGTTCCACAGGGATCTGTTTTAGAGCCCATTTCGAGTAATCACAAAATGAACTTTTTTGACATAACAAACAAAAATTTTCCCTAAGTCCGGATCGTTTCTTTTTCATAAAATAAGATCTTGAATAGTTTCAATAAAGAAACGTCGCTGTCAAATTTCAGCCAATTACGTCGAATCATTTCTGAAATATCGGCCATCAAAGTTATATGGCAATTTCACATAATTCCCTGATGCTTCTTCGTTAGGGATGGCCTTCAAAATTTTTCATCTGTATACATCAACTCGTCATGATTCCCCTCATTACCCATTTGGCTATGTGAGTCTCCTCATGAATCACCCTGTATAGCCGTAAGAAAATTATAAAAAATATCGAATTCTCATTGATTGATTGCGTTATTTTCTATCCTAGACTAAACAGGGTTAGTCTCCAATACGACCATCACATAAGCAGTTTACGTTAACTCAGTCATTGTCGTTCTAGATGACAACCTAGTTAGGTAGTTAGTAGGCAGGAGCTATATATACCTCCTCGCACTAAGTCGCCTACTAGGTTTTCATTTAGATCGACAATGACTCAGTGAATAGCAAGAAATGCAGTTCTTTCCAATAAAATCTAATGGCGCCGACAGGCATATTTAGTTGGCCTCAAAGTGCTCTTTATATTTATCTAACGTGATCGCGAAAGATGCAAAATAGATATTCTTGAAGATAGAATACCTGAAATAATATCACCATTCCTAATACAAAATAATAATATTAATTATAGTCATAATCTATACAGTACCAGTGCCCTTTACTCAGTCCCACGGCTCCGACAATCATAACTCTCTCTGCATCTGTGATAATAATGGCAGAAGCAACGATTTTCTTAAGTTTTTCTAGCTCAGACTTCAAGACATCATCTTGCTGTTTATCATATCTTACTGGTTTTCCTAGTAGTTTCTTGATTGACATTACCTAAGAAAGAAATAATATAGGAATCAATGTTAGGTAATCATCTGATCATCAATAAATGAAAATATATTATGAGCAAAAAACCGCCAGCTGAAAATATCATTTTCTACTTTTCCACGAATATTGAATAGAATGGTGTTCACTTTTTTATTGTTAACTTGACACTGCAAAGTATGAAAAGTGAATTAATAAATAGGCAAATGCCTTACCATTTCATTATCCTGGAGTTTTAAATGTGAGTATGCCGATTTCCCGGTTGACATAATATCTTCAAACTGCATGAACCTCACAAATCTGTCAATTTCCAAAGTTATGTCATCTACTTCCTGTTTGGTTATCGAATTCTCATCTCTGGATAGTAACTTCAATATGAAATTTAGTTGATGTATGCTCATGGGAAAGATGGTAGTGAGTAATTCTCTTTCTTTAAAAACCCCAGCTACAACACTGACGAGTTTTATTTTGGATTCGATAGCATGAAGATCAGTTTTATTAATATTTTGACGGCGGAAATCATTCTGGGATCTAGGAGCCTTCCTTTGAGATTTTGGCTGACTCACAGGTAGTAGTCTTCTCAGCAAATCATGAATGAATCTCTGCAATCCTGAATGGTCTACAGGACGAAGGGGTTTTTGATATACACGCCCAAATCTCGATACTGAGGATTTACGATTGTCACCAAAAATCTCTTTGCATAATTTATGCACATTCATCTGCAAACGATTTCTTGTGTCCTCAATTTCCCTCGGACTCCCATAATATTTCGTCTTGACATTCGTCATATCATCAATGCTTTCCTTGATGTACTCTGAGTATCTTTCAGTTTTCATTATGATAGTCTTACATCTTGGACAAACCTAGGAGAAAAAAAAAACAGTTTATATTTTTCTTGAAAACATTCCCTGTAGGATTTAATTATTTATTTTATTTATTTATTTATTTAATTTACATAGGTTACCCAACAGAGTAATGAAACTCCAATTATAGGGTTACACATCTGATTTGATAGAGTGTACACTTTGTAAGTTGATATAGAGAAACTAAAATAATATCCTAAAAATTATCACCAAAAATAAACAAAAATACAAAAATTAAAAAACAAAAAAGTACCAAAAAAGTATTGGACTGAGAATTTGGATACCGTCATGAATCAATTCAAATCGAAAACTTGTCCAGATTCTTTCCTGACTCCATGTAAAGTGCTATTGAACAGATCGATATGGCTGAAATATATAAATCTTGTACCATATGTATAGAGGTGAACTTCTTGCATAGTTCGTCTTATGATTTGGTAGGTAGAACAAATTATGTGAGCGGGTAACGTGTGTGAGTACATTGAACGAGAGTCTGTTGACTATGTAACTACTGTCTACTCTGTTGCTGAGAATTTTGAAAAGAAATATAACGAAGCTTACAATTCTCCGAGAGGAAAGTTTGCTGAGATCGAAATGTTGTAAGCGACTCTCGTATGATAAGTGAGTTTGAGGTCTCTTGAACTTGAAAAACAGTATATTCATAAACTTCATTTGAACTCTCTCTACTCGTTCAATGTATTTATAATAGTAGGGGTTCCATACTATAGATGCGAACTCGAGGTGGCTCCTAACTGGAGAGTTGTATAATATTAACAACGACTTTGGATTTTTAAATGATTTAGTTATTCTTGAAATAAATCCCAGGTTTCCGAAAGCTTTTTTCACTATTTTCTCAATACGTGCCTCAAAAGTGAGTTTTGAATCGAGCATCACACCTAGGTCTTTCAGGACTTCTACTTTGGATAATGACTTGTTGTCTTCACCTACATTCACCGTAAACCAAACAAATTCGTTTTTCATTATTATCGTAGACGAATGTGCAACATGCACAGAAACAAAATTGTCTTAGGATAGGATATATTAACACAAATGATTTCAGTTAATATATATTGCTCCACAATCCAACAGGTATCAAATACAACTGTGTAACTACTGCTATGTGATTCAAATACTTTAAAGATTAAATTTTATACAAATCTGACTAACGTCAGTTTTGATATGTTCAAGTCCTACTATGAATGTTAAGAGCTGGTAATAAGGGTTATAATTATACTATCACATATTGATTTGAAAATAAAAATTGGTCACTAGCCAATCAGGGATCACCCATAACGATTGGACTCTGGCAACTACGCTACGCAAATTGAACGATTCTACTGGACTCTTATATGGTCAATTTCTGGTGAAATGGTTCATTAAATAAATATACAAAGCTCAGTCATTTCCACGAAAGTTCATAAACGAACGAAACTGGTAGATGACGAGAGAAAAACAACTACTTTCTTGGTTATACAGGGTAACTCACGGTCCATGGTACGTTAAACGTTTACGGAGAACGGGACATAGGATCATTCTGAAATTTTGGTTACTCACGTAGTTGCTCTTGGTCTATCGATCTAAGATATTTTTAGCTCTGCGGCGTTACCGCTTCTATCGAAAAGTAGCAACAACTTTGTTATTTTAAATGAAACACCCTGTATTTTATTGCATTTTCAGATTCTCTCTGAAGAGCTGATTTCATCGATGCATCACACTTGGGGTCTAGCGGAAATGGTTACAGAGATATAGGGTGTGAAAAATCGACATTTTTCAACTTTAGGAATTTTTTTTGTCTAAACTATTCATTATTGGTCAAAACGGCTCACATGTCCCTATCTCAACTCTCGATCAACTATCTACTGACATTTAATTGAAACAAATACAGGGTGGTGCAGAATTCAGAATCTTGATCACCCGGTATATGTCCCAATTAGATATCAGTAGATAGTTAATCAAAAGTTGAGATAGAGACATGTAAACCGTTTTGACCAATAATGAATAGTTTCGACAAAAAAAATTCCTAAAGTTGAAAAATGTCGATTTTTCACACCCTATATCTCTGTAATCATTTCCGCTAGACCCCAAGTGTGATACATCGATGAAATCAGCTCTTCAGAGAGAATCTGAAAATGCTATAAAATACAGGGTGTTCCATTTAAAATAACAAAGTTGTTGCTACTTTTCGATAGAAGCGGCAACGCCGCAGAGCTGTAGATATTTTAGACTGATAGACCAAGAGCAACTACGTGAGTAACCAGAATTTCAGAATGATCCTATTTCCTGTTCTCCATAAACGTCTAACGTACCATCGACCGTGAGTTACCCTATATACCACGCCGAACATTGAATTACATCCTCCCAAAATCTATGCAACAATTCGTATAGAGGAATGAGATCGCAAGTGTTTCCTAAATGCTGAATTGTGCTTAAATTGTTCAGAAAGGCTTGACTACTTACAAACCAGTTTCTACTCATTTTCGAGATATTGACTCTCATCAGTGCAGGGGTGTCCACCTGAGTAAAAGGAAATAAACACTCCAAAACAAATTCGCATTTCAGATAGAATGAGAGTATCTGATTGCCTAACTGGCGTAATTCCAACAACTAAAAAGCCAAAATGCTCAAAGTAGAATGAAATGTTAAATCGATATACAAAGCTCAAAGTCATTCCCACAAAAGTTCATGAATGAACGAAACTGGTAGATGAGAGAAAACTACTTTCCTGGCTATATGCCACGCAGAACATTGAATTACAGCCACTTTGGGCATCTTGGCTTTTTCATCAGGCAATCAGCCACTCCCATTTAATCTGAAATGGGAATTTGTTTTGGAGCGTTCCTTTCCTTCTACTAAGGTGGCGTTCGTGACCATCTCGCAGATGCCGAACGCGCCGTGAACATCAAATGCCAAAATTCGTTTTACGTTGGGTCAGGTTCGCACTAGATGGCGGTCATGAATACCATCTGGAGACACCCTTGCACTGATGAGAGCGTTAAGCTCGAAACCGGTCTGTAGGTAGTCAAGCGTCCCTGAACAATTCAAGCACAGATTAGCATTTAGGAAGGAAACACACCTGCGTTGTTTTTCTCTCGTTACCTACCAGTTTCGTTCATTAATGAACTTTAGAGGAAATGACTTTGAGCTTTGTAAATTTATTCTCAACATTTCATTCCACTTTGAGCATTTTGGCTTTCTCGTAGGTGAAATGGTTCCTATTTGGAATTTTCTTTGATTTGATTAAATTGGTCTGTTTAAGTGAAAAATTTCATTTCTTTATTTCGAAGTACTAACCCTTACAAGTTCACTGTCGCAAACCGTTTTTTCCTCTGAGCTTTGTAACTTTTTAAAATATTTTTGAAATTCACGATATTTCATGACATGAAAAACGCGGGTGACCGCGTGACGTAATCATCCGAGAAAACCATGTAAGATTTGTCGTCGGACTACGTCTTCCGAACTGCTGAACACCTGGTAGAACAATTGAATGACAATGAGTGACGTAAGCGGAATAAGAGACTCCCCAATAGTTTTGGTATTCATAAATATTATTCTTTCTTATTACGACATACTCCAATGCCTATGGAGGATATCACTAGTCAACCCAAGAACAAGGTCAAGCCGCGTATCGGCTATTTGGCATTGGATGGTTCCGGGGGTTTCTTCCAGATAATTCTTTTTGTGCACAGGCTTCAGGGCTTTGTCATACACGAGTACCGAGACAGATTCGACTCACGCATCAATTCTCTATTTCTGATAGGCAAGTGCAATCAGAATATGCAATGAATTTTCTGGATTGACTACGTACTGCAGATAACATAGAAATATAGAATGAAGAGATTTTGTATTTCGTGTAAAATTTTTTTTTTATTATAAATCGCAAAGCGCTTTCGGCTAAAAAGCCATCATCAGTGCTATACCTGCAAGTAAGTAACATTTATGAAATTTCAAAAAACAAATCGAAAAAGGTAGATTACTTACTCGTCAAGTATTTACAAAAAGGTCCAAAAATTAGTGATCACAGACATCATTATGGTACAAACGGGATTATGAACAGACATACATTTAACAAATATGTTCCCTAATGGGTTATTGTAAAATTTTTCAAAAATACATGTTGAGATTGTTTTGTTCAAGTCCAGAAATAGCACGAGGGACCTTAACCTTATTTATTCTGGAGAATGTTTGATAATTTTTAACCTTAGTAAAATGTTGACAATGACTGAGTGTCAATGTCTATGACTTAGTTGACATGTGTATGAAGTAGACAAGTGACATAATGAAAAAAGCGCTTGGGAAAGAATTGACAAGGTGAGCAGAAAAGCTGTCTGAAAATTTTGAAACATTCTGAAAAGTAAAATAAGATGAAGTGGACTTCAATCCAGGCCAAAGAGTAAACCTTTGTAGTAAAATTGAGAGAAAAGAGTTTCCAATCAAGACTTAAGAGTCCTGGTGTCCAAACTGGAAGTCCAAGGAGAATTCCTGTAGACGAATGCCTCATCAGAAGCAAACATACCACCAGAATACCTCCAGACCCAGAACGAAGGCCGAACTCAAGTCTCAAAAGTAAGCCGGATCCTGAATGCAATTTTGTTGTGTTGGGTGAAAATTAAAGAGCAGGACTTCAGACTCCAGAATAAATAAGGTTAAGGTCCCTCGTGCTATTTCTGGACTTGAACAAAACAATCTCAACATGTATTTTTGAAAAATTTTACAATAACCCATTAGGGAACATATTTGTTAAATGTATGTCTGTTCATAATCCCGTTTGTACCATAATGATGTCTGTGATCACTAATTTTTGGACCTTTTTGTAAATACTTGACGAGTAAGTAATCTATACCTTTTTCGATTTGTTTTTTGAAATTTCATAAATGTTACTTACTTGCAGGTATAGCACTGATGATGGCTTTTTAGCCGAAAGCGCTTTGCGATTTATAATAAAAAAAAAATTTTACACGAAATACAAAATCTCTTCATTCTATTGATCAGTTACGTGTATGCAGCTAGTAAAAATCTTCACCTTCGATAACAGAGAACACAACATCTTGACTAGATAAAACAAGGATTTGACGATGAAGGTGACAGCCGATATTATAATATCAGCTTGAGAATGTAGTTTTTCTTCTTCTTCTTTTTGTATTTTTGGCAACTAAGGCATTACACTGTCACCCGTGCCACAAAATAATTTGGGATTGAATAAAATCTTGATCCTTATCAGGAATACTAAGATTTTTTTATTGGTACTGAAGCATCTTGCAAGTATATAAGTATTCAATAAGGGGCCAGGTCGAACTATTGTCTTCTGTGACTGAATACTATTGTCATTGATCATATTGAATCTCATAAGGTAATTACTAGTTACAAATCTGGCAGCGTCGAAATATGTGGTCCTACTTTTTATGAGAAAGCCAGAATTTAATTATTGAACAAAATTTTTTGCGATGATTCTGGATAACGAATGATTGCATCAAATACTATTAATACACGGAATGATCAATATAAAATGTGTAAAACCCCATTAAAGCTACCTTCGGTTTTATCTGGTCCTTGTCCATTTCAAGCCAACGCTGCATATCGCCGGCCTCGAAAATGTGCTTGCAATCGACCAACATGACGTAGACGGCGTCCTCATCGTCCTCATTGCCAAGAAAGATCTGCGTGAGCTCTTCCCGGTCGCATATCTTGCACAGCACTGGGCACGGATCGCCACAGAAGCCGACGCAAGGGTGTCCGCATTTCAATGTTTTCGGGCAGGGTTTAGTGCACGGATCAACGTCACAATAGTCCCAGCATTTCTTCCGGCACTGCTGGTGGTTGCACCGTCTGTTGCATTGTTCCTTGCATCTACGAATCATTTCTTTATAATAATAATACCTAATAATAATAATAATATATTTATTGCTGTTTAATGACCTCCGCCACGCGTCGTGCATCAAACTTCACACGCGGGAGGAAATGGATACCTTTACTTCCTTAATATACAGGGTGTCCCATAATTAGCCTGCCAAACTTCACCAGCGAGTTCTACGACCGAGAATAGATAGAAAAGTTCAAATGAACATAGGTCTACGGCTACCTTAAAGGGGGCTTCTGAAGATGGTATTTCCTGAATATTTCCGAAACGCCGTGAGATGAAATGATGAAATTTATTACAAGAACTAAACTTTTTATGTTTAATGCAGTGGAGATAAAGTTATTTCGGAATTTGATTTATGAGTACTTAAAACAGGATGGAGCTACTCTAACTATCACCCCCGAATTTTTTTGTATTCAATGTTTTCGACGATTTGGTCTCGGATTATGAATATTTTTACAGAAAAAAGGTACTCTTGTTCCATGTTGATTAGATAGAAGCTTTAATTTTACTGAAAAATTGTATATTATATTGCAACGGGTGCTCATTCATGCAAACCCATCTGTTATATTTACAACACTGTTATATAACATCAACGGAACTTTTTTATATAAAATATTCACGTAAATATTCCATAATACCTCTAAAATATGTAAACCTCGTATTTATATAAAATATTCACGTAAATATTCCATAACAATTCTAAAATATGTGAACCCCATAATTATATATGATGTAACTGATATGTGAAAATTTGATATCAATATAAAAGCTTATATTTTAGCTACATGATTTTACTACAATTAAGGATATTCGTTGGGATGATCAGTACCCGTGGTCTCGCCCTGTAGCGTCCCCCTACCGCGATGATTATTATTTTTCGCTCTCGCACTGTAGCGTTTCTCCGTGACCACTCTGAGGTTATAAGTAATGAGTGAAGACTTGGAGACTGAAAGCATTTTCAGTATTTTCTAACTATTCCTAGTCAGCACATCCTTTCGTTGTGAAAGATGTCGAACAGCACTTTATCAAAACTCCTTCATCCATAGAACGGCTAGGCTCTGGAATTCATTGCCTGAGGAAGTATTCCCAACAACATATAATCTCCAGAAGTTCAAAAAAATTCCAATACCTACCTACTATCCCTATCCTCCCTAGGAACGCACGATGTTCTTTGAACATTATAGGGATTCCCTTTCGTGCGCGCCAAGCGATAAAAAAAATTATCAAAAATAATTTTTTGGCACAGATATGCTGATGATGTCATAGCTTTGTTTAAGGGTACTTCTGAAGAACTTGATAATTTCTTGATTTTCCTCAATTCCATTCTCCACAGGATCAAATTTTACTATGGAAATTGAATCACATAACCAACTTCCTTTCTTAGATCTTCTAATTCATATTATTCATAAATCTGAGAAGTAAGAATTCTAACACCTAACATTTTGACTCTGAATTGAATATTATCAGGCAGATTGCCTTGAACAATGGTTTTCCCATTCATTTGATTAAAACAATTTATTTCAGATATCTGAACAAATTTTCGAACCATTTCCTTGCTAACCATGAACCACCGTCAACAAAATTCTTCTCTTCAACTTCATTTGGCCCAGTTTCACTTAAAATTAGAGATATCCTCAGTAAGAAACTCAATAATAACAATTCCACCCAGTTTACTTTTTCTTACTTCAAATGATCCCAGATCTTCACTAGTCAATACCAAGGACTATTGAAAGTTTAGAAATTCATAAATCTTTGAATATTCGCGATATGACTTGTAATAACGAACATACCCACTTTGACTGTTTCAAACTTTTCAATTCCTTCACTTTCATCAGAGATTGACTAATCTCTGACTTTCATCAACACATAATATTTATGTTTTCATTCCCCCCGAATTCAGTATATAAAATTTCAGGAATATTCAATTCTCTTTCTTCCTTTGCAGTTATTATCATTCAAGTTTATAATGTGCCCACCTCGAATCTCATATTCTCCCCCATCTCTATTCCTTGTCAATGTCTGCATTTTCACTATTTGATGTTCTATGTCACCCTTGTCACTTCATGTCAAAGTCATTCATTTCACATGGTTTTGAATTCAATTTGATATTTGAGATGAAATCTCATTTCTTGACAAGCTTTTGGCAAGTGAATTTCCTCACTTCGATTCCAGTTTGATTGCTGATTATTTATTACGATGTTTTATCTTATAGTACCTTAACACAGGTGATCCGCATTTTGCGGTCCCCTGTTTTATTATTGTTGTAACAATTTTTCATTTTGTTTTCAAATAATATGTGAACATAACTTTTTTCCTCCATAACAGGTGAGTTTTTTAGAACTGTCGTTGTTGTAGACTTTTGTCTGAAATTATGCTTTGTTTTTCTCTTTAGTGCTCCTATGTAACTTATTGCTGGGTTCAAGTTTCATTTAGCTGAAATCAGTTATGGAAAATATGTAGCTATGGTGATACGATAGTAAACAGAAAACAAAATCCCGTGGTGAGGAAATGCGTGGTTGCTAAGTTGTACTGGGTTTAGTATAGCTGAAATCAGTTGTGGAAAAAATAATGCCATGGCAACCGTTGTCATCGTAATGTTGTATGTGTATGTATGTATGTGTGTGGGCGGTCCGGGACCTGATGCACTTAGGCCTCCCCTTTCGGGCCCATTGTGCACCCACATTACTGGGATAGCAAGTCAACCATGGAGAAGGCCGATTTTGCGAGTAAAAGAGACCCACTTTCTATGCCAAATATTTTCAACATCCTCTGGGTCCATGTCATCATAACAGGTAAACAAAAATCCAAATCCTATGGCGAGGAAATGCGTAGTTGCCAAGTTGTATTGTGTTTAGTTTAGCTGAAATCAGCTATGGAAAAACTGTTGCTATGGCAATGATCTTCATGGTAACGAGTGAACAAAAACAAAATTCCTGTTGTGAGTAAATGCGTGGTTGCCGAGTTTTCTATTTTTTCATTTCATTTCAAACATTTGAGAAATCAGAAAGACAGTGATGAATTATCTCCTGAGTCAAGGTTAGGTGCCAGCAAGACCTCATAAGTCCAAATCCAAGGAACACAAGAATCCGGTTGAGCCATTTTCCCATCATTATTTTAGAGAAACAGATTTGGAGATATACTATAGTCCTTAATCTTGAAAATGAAGACAAGATATTCCAGTGGTGAAAGGTACATTGATTGAAAATAGCAACTTGTCTCCTCGGAAAGAATCCAAGTAAGTTTTTCGTGTCCCAATACATATTTCTCATTGAGTAGTTGATATTCATGGGTTATTTGATTCTGCTAACTTGACCTAATCTGACCTAAAATCACCATCCTATAAAACAACACCATCTAACTCAGCCAAAACAAACCTTTTACTAGGTATCGGAAATAGTTTAGTCAATACTTTTCTCAACAGTAAATGCCTCCACGCCTCCACAGTCCTTTTTCCAGGGAGGAAAGAAAATATCCCTCCTGCATAAACACAACTTTTTTTCAACCATTCAACCTTACTCGACCTAAATGAACCTTCTTCCTGAGAAGACAGTAGGTATTTTCTCCTGGGTGGAAGGAAAATATCCCTCCTGCATAAAAACTACTTTTTCTGAACAATCTAACCTAACTCGGCTTAAATGTACCTTCTTCTTGAAAGGAATATATTTTTTAACATCGATCAGATTTGGTAGCAAGGCATCGTTCGTGTGTGTTTGAAGACTGTGGCTGAATCAAAATGTGCGCGTGAAGTAAGGTATGGGTGAATCGAAATGAAGGCAAATGGAAATGTGGGTAGATCGAAATTTGGGCCTAACGAGATGTTCCCATCTGTATTAGGCAACCAGTACCTGTGTCTCTCTTCCTATATCCTGCGCGATACCTCCTAATGAATATTCCAAAACGAGTCTGTTTCTTTTTGAATTTTTTGAATACCTTGGCACACGAAGGATGGTTGCATTGAAGAGTATTTTTGAAATTAATGAATGAAGCAATGTTTCTCCGATTCAATTGGTAACCACGCATTTCCTCACCACGGGAATCGGATTTTTGTTTGTTACCATGACGATCGTTGCCATGGCAATAGTTTCACCATAATTGATTTCAGCCAAACTTGGCAACCACGCATTTCCTCACCACGGTAATCGAGTTTTTGTTTACTCGTTACCATGACGATCGTTGCCATGGCAACAGTTTTTCCATCTGATTTCAGCTAAACGAAACTTGAGCCCTAGGTTCTGAATGCCCATAAGGGATACTTCATTTTGCCCATTCGAACATTTCTGTAAGGCAAATATAAACAGGGTGTACAGGGTGATTCAAACTTCCCGCCCTTCGCTCATAACAGGAAAAGTGAAACTGCAAATGCAAATTCGGCAGAGGGGATTTGAATAGCTGTGTGTAAGGTATATTTTTTTGTATTTAAACATATTTCAACTCTTTTCAAAATGGCGGAAATGACGTCAGAAAAGTTATTTTTTCCACAGTCACCATTTTTTTCTCATATTCTGAAAAAACAAATTTTTTTAAACATCTTTCATTCCAAAACTTTTTTTCTATCTTCATTAAGTTGATAGCTGTGGGACTCCAAAGTTGGCATTTTCAAATAAACCTCAAATGACCCCGCCGTACTAAGAATCCAGTCTGTCGGAAAACAAATTGTTTTGTAAGCAATTTAAAAAAATATTTTCTTTCAGAACATTGATTATGGGAAAATAATTTTGAAATAATTCTTGACCCCGCCGTAATAAAAATCGAGCCGGCCGGTTTTTAGCTTCAATCGGTTTCAAATGAATGCAAAATGTATCAAATTTATCAAATTGCTCACAAAACAATTTGTTTTCCGGCAGACTCGATTTTTATTACGGCGGGGTCATTTGAGGTTTATTCGAGAATGCCAACTTTGGAGTCCCACAGCTCAAGGTTGGTAGAACTGATGACTATTTTGTAGAGGAAGGTTGCCTCGATCGCACCCCGCGAGTGACCTTGAGTAACTCATGACGTAATAGTCCCTTTCTTTTGCACGAAAAGTGTAGCACTCTCGTACACTTCGTGTATGATATGTACGCCGGCGATTGGCCGGCGCATGTATAGAGTTGACAGTTGTCAGTATTTTCGATTATTTGAACCATTTTGAACTTAAAAATGTAAAAATGATAATTTGTTCGGTCACTTCTTGTTAAAATTCGTACAAGTGTAATGAGACTAGTGAATTTAGTTTGTGTTTCCATTAATTTCCATAAGATGAGTCTATTCGTGAGAAATATGGATTCAATTTTGTGGACGTAATTTTAATTCATTTATTAATACCAAAACTTGGCGAATATGTTCTGCCCATTTCAATGCCGAGGATTTTGAACGGCACAAGCAGAATTGCTAAATCACACACCAAAGAGATGAAAACTCAAGGTAGGAATCCCATCAATAATACCAAATACAACAAGAGAAACACCATAAGTATTCAAGTTTGGAAAAATGATCAGGACCAGACCAGTTGTGAATGTTGAGATTCTTGCTGAACGGGTAAAATGGACATCAGAAGATATCACACGTGTTTTCAAGTTGAGATATTTGAACAAGAGTACGTTACCCAACGAAGAGGAGCTATGTTTATTTGAGAGATTCCTTGAACTATCCTTCATTATAGGTTCACTTATAAGTAGTGTTATTTTTCATTAATTTTGTTCAGAATTATTTATTATTATTTATTTATTTATTTATTCTCATATGAATACATTTACAAAGACATACATATTCTAATATTATAAAAATTCTAAATTTTATCTACTTCACATAGGTTATTGACCTGTGTGTGAATTAGATAATTATTATAAACTTTTTGTAAAAAATTTTCAAGTTCTTAAAAATATTTAGATTAAATATTGATTATAAATTCAATATATACAAAAAAAAAATTATTTGAAGAGATTATCAATTTCTTTTGCATTATCCAAAAACCAAATTTTAATTTTTTTTTGAATGTTACAATATTCAAACGTCTCAATTTTGATGGAACTCTGTTGAAAATTTTTGACCCAATAAAACTACTATGGTTTTGCATGATTTTGAGATTATGTTTTTCAAGTTGAACATTATCATTTCTTGTACAATAATTGTGACTAATTTTATTACTAAATGCAGTGTTTTTTTTCAAGAAATTCAATGATGCTTTATAAAATAATTGTTTGACATTCAGTATATGATTATCTACAAATAATGAGGATGATGGATAATCCAAAGGTTTGCGAAAAATTATTTTCAAAACATATTTTTGAATACTTAATAATGGTTTGAGATGAGTCTCATACATACCACCCTATCCAATGATTCCATATGACAGAATAGATTGAAAAAGTACATGATATAACATTATGATTAAATTTCTATTAACAATATTTCGTAAAAATCTGAATTTTGGAAGAGTACTTCTGAGCTTCTTAGTAATTTCTGAAACGTGATGATTCCACTTTAAATGTTGATCAATATAAATTCCAAGATATTTAATAAAAGCAACTTTATTTATTTATTTATTTATTTTGTTATTTTTTTATGCTCAAATACTTCGATCAATTGCTCTGTTTTTGACTACAATATAATCAAACAATGAAATACTATTTCCTCTTGTATTTTCTATAGGTATCTAGGAAAGTTTGTCAATTTTTCAGAATACAGAGTTATATTGATGAAATAAGTGATCTGTTGTGTACGAATATTGGTCCACTGCTATACTACTTCTGGATCATCAGTTGATTATTCTTATATTTTCTGTAGTTTCTTGTTCACATTATCTGATTTGCAGGATATTTATAGGATGAGTAGGTTCATAATCAATGCATAAGTAATCACTAGCTCCATAATTATGCTCCATACCTCAAAACACACATACCTGGTACCACGACCTGTACTACTGATCCATCCAAAATTGCCTTCTCATTTCGAAGATTGGAGGTATTATACAGAAGTATATGTAAATATCCATATTTTATAATGGTACTCACTTATAATTATATACAATAAATTAATATAAATATGCTGAGCAGACCAAAAAGTTTGTATCATGTTGTATACTCTATTTGGTGAACATTTCATGACATGTCGCTTTGAGGTTGACAACTTGTCGTCTTACTGCCTGTGACGTCACGAGTGACCGTTTCCCCCTTGCCGCACTATCGATCGAGGCAACCTTCCTATACAAATTATAATCAGTTCTACCAACCTTGCCACAGCTATCATCTTGATGAAGATGGAAAAAAAGTTTTGAGACGAAAGATGTTAAAAATGATATGTTTTTCCAGAATATGAGAAAAAAATGGTGACTGTGGAAAAATTAAATTTTCTGACGTCATTTCCGCCATTTTGAAAAAGGTTGAAATATGTTTAAATACGAAAAAATATACCTTACAAACAGCTATTTAAATTCCCTCTGTTAAATTTGCATTTGCAGTTTTACTTTTCCTGTTATGATCGAAAGGCGGGAAGTTTGAATAACCCTGTACATACATACCTCGTACAGGGCTCCCCGCATTTCTTCTTGCACACGCTGTGCGAGCACCGATAAAGGCAGTCCCTGAGACAGGGCTTGCATGCCTCCCTGCACGGAATCGGGCAATCGTGCCCGCACACCAGCAGCACTCCGCACTTTTCTCGGCACCTTTGGTGGGCCCGACCCTGCGCGCACTCGCCGCAAGAGCCTCCGCACTGGTGGCCGCACTCCAACTTGAACGAGCATTTTTCCGAACACATTTCCAGTAACATCGCTGGATCGGCTGCAATAAGTAAAGGTGTTCCACAGGGATATGTTTCAGGGCCCATCTTGTATATATTATACAGGGTGTTTGGTGCATCGTGTGCCAAATTGAAATGGTCGAATGAAGGGGTCATCTGCTATGCTTTGAGACTAGTTAACACCTTGTATGCCCTGTGGATTATTTTTAATCGTTTTTTTATCTGTTTATCAAAAAAAGACCCAAATTCCACATTCAAATACAAATTTTTAAAAAAGTATGAGGCGTAGACTCTTAATTTAAATTTTATTCAGATTTGTGTTGTGTTAGAGATACGAAGCTAGTGACATAAGTCATCTAGTTTTTTTTTTAATTTACTCGCAAAGTTTCGAAATATGTAAAACTCAAAGGACCCCGCACGAAAACAGGGGAAATTGGCTCTCGGTCGAATTGGCTGAAATTTGACTATGTTGTTGTGGGATGGCTCATTAGAAATATATGTGAGTTTAAAAAGATTTGTATATTTAGTTTCTGAGATATAAGCCGACAAAGTTCGTAAAAACGTCGTATGGGGTAGGATTGACAAAGAAAAAAACAGTTTTTTTAGTATAAATGAAACAAAATAAGCTAGAAAATGTATCGATCGGAACTCATATACAAGTCTAGTTATAATCACATGAATTATAGTAAATCAGGGTGTATACGAGGCACGGTTCATTTTTCGGAAAAAAAAGCACTATTCCAAAACCAACAAGTTATATGTTGGTGGGATATCATGGTTTCAGTCTATTGTAGGCTTCGAAAACGTATTTTGATTCTTGATAACTATCTCTGTTTGAAATATGAATTTTTAGAATTTTATGTTATATATCCTTTTTTGAAAACAATTGGAAGCTTGTTTTTGATCACAAAGAAAGGAATTGATTGATACTATTGATTGAATGGAAGCTGAGGAAACTTACTAGCGAATTCAGTTGTTCAATATTGCCTTTCATTTAGATACAGGGTGTGTTAGATTTTGTTAAAGATTATTTAACATGTTTCAATTGAATATCTCGAAAACAGTTCCGTTAATTTGGATCTCATTTTACATTTTACACACACTATTTTGAATATGTTGACTATCATATGCAAAAAGTTTTTGAATTTTTTTATGTTTCGTTTCTGAGATACCTATGCATTTTTGGGTTTACAGTATTACAAGTATTATAGGGTTATTACCTCGGATATTACTATAAAAAATTTATATCTCAGAAACGAAACATAAAAAATTGAAAAACGTTTTGCATATGATAGTCAACATATTCAAAATAGTGTGTGTAAAATGAGATCCAAATTAACGGAACTGTTTTCGAGATATTCAATTGAAACATGTTAAATAATCTTCAACAAAATCTAACACACCCTGTATCTAAATGAAATAAGGCAATATTGAACAACTGAATTCGCTAGTGAATTTCCTCAGCTTTCATTCAATCAACAGTATCAATCAATCTCTTTCTTTGTGATCAAAAACAAGCTTTCAATTGTTTCCAAAAGGGGTATAACACAAAATTCAAAGAATTCATATTTCGAACAGAGATAGTTATCAAGAATCAAAATACGTTTCCGAAGCCTACAATAGACTAAAACTATGATGTCTCACCAAAATATAACTTGTTGGTTTTGGAATAGTACTCGAATTTTTTTTCCGAAAAATGAATTTTTTGACCGTGCCTCGTATACACCCTGATTTACTATTATTCATGTGATCATAACTAGACATGTATTTGAGTTCCGATCAATACATTTTCTAGCTTATTTTGTCTTATTTATACTAAAAAAACAGTTTTTTTCTTCGTCAATCCTAACCCGATACGACGTTTTTACGAACTTTGTAGGCTTATATCTCAGAAACTAAACATACAAAACTCTTCAAACTCACATATTTTTCTAATGAGCCATCCCACAATAACATAGTTAAATTTCAGCCAATTCGACCGAGAGCCAATTTACCGTGTTTTCGTGCGGGGTCCTTTAAGCTGTGACTTCACATGGCTACAAAAAAAAAACCAGAAGCGACCAGGATCTTCCAACTCCCTCAAAAGTTCTATAGTCTATCCTCTTGCTAATGATGTGTCACATGCCATAAATATCATTCAACAACTTGGTATATTCGCTAAAAATGTCGATCAAGTCTCATAAGGCTGTTATTAAAAATGATCTGAAAAATTATTTTTGCGTAACTGTTACTCCAGAAACAATTATAATTTATATTTCTTGCACAATGTAAATCTGTTTGAACAAATCACGAACTGCCACCGACCCCATATTTTTTTAGTCGAGACATCACTGCCTCCTGCCTCTGCTACCTAACGTGTTCATTTCATCGTACTCCGCGATTCTTTCAGTTTGTTACTCTTGGTGTTATTGTTAAGCTTTGTTGACGTTTTTGTTGTTGCAATGGCGACATTCTCTGACGAAGAATATGCGGATAATATCATGATGGCTTATGGAGCCGCCCATGCAGTCGCGCGTGCAGCGCAACGAACTTAATTACCAGGAACGCTGTCCCGCGCATTGGCGTTTGACTGTGAGGGAATATCCCGACAATGTGTTCCTCCATGCGTGGATTGGGCGTCTGGGGACCTGCCAAAGAGCTAGTGTACGTCACGGAAGTTCCAACTAAGGAGGTACTAGTCCAACGCATAGAAACGGCCTTCGATACCATTAAGGAGGAAAAAAGCAACTGCCGAAATACGAAACAGATGTCAAGCCTGCATTTGCAACAAGGGTCAACAATTTGAGCAGGATAAATGTTAAAAATGCAATTTTATTTTTTGTTCATTTCAAGTATAATCCACGAAAAAATAGAGATACGAGACAGATTTCACCTCATAAGAGTGAGATAACAAATATAAAAATAATAGGTTCAGGAATCATTCAAATCAAATCAAATCTAGACTATAGAGCTTTTGAGGGAGTTGGAAGATCCTGGTCGCTTTTGGTTTTTTTTAGCCATGTAAAGTCACAGCTTTAATTTGAGTTTTACATATTTCGAAACTTTGCGAGTAAGGTTGAAAAAAACTAGATGGCTTATGTCACTAGTTTCGTATTTAAAAGTACTCTAACACAACACACATCTGAATAAAATTAAAATTCAGAGTCTACGCCTCATACTTTTTTAAAAATTTGTATTTGAATGTGGAATTTGGGTCTTTTTTTGATAAACAGATAAAAAGACGATTAAAAATAATCCACAGGGCACGAAAGGTGTTAACTAGTCTTAAAGGATAGCAGATGACCGCTTCATTCGACCACTTCAATTTGGCACACGACGCACCAAACACCCTGTATATTCAAAATATTTTTGAAATTGGATTGACAGGTAATTATACTATATATGCAGATGATACTGTACTTTTATACGAAAACAAAAACCCCATCATTCTAGAAAACATTATAAACGAAGATTTGAACAAATTTGAAAAATGGCTTTATACACACATTTTACCAATAAAACTGAATAAATAATATTCCATCAGGAAAATGAACAGAATATTAGTCTCAATCTCCAACAAAATAAAATAAAGTATATTGGTATGTGGATTGATGAAAAATTGAAATGGGACAAGCATATAGAGGTTCTGATACAAAAAATATCTCCAATCATTGGAGCTTTGCGAAGATGTCCTAAACTTGACAAAAAATGCATTAACATAGTACTTCATTCTCATATACTCAGTCGTATTACCTATATGATAAACGTTTGGGATCTCGTTCAAAAAATTATTTCAGTAAAATATCTGTACTTTATAAGATATCACTGGAAGTATTGTATCGCCTCTCATTTGATATCCCAACAAATGATCTGTATGCGATAACAGAAAAATTTTCATTGGATGAATTATATAAAATAGAATCTCTTGAAGTTTCATATAATATCATAAACAATAATCTGAAATCCAATTCTGTTTCGATAAGAAACTCAGAAATTGAAATTGAATTTATTTCATCTTGATTCTGCTACTTCTATAATTCGCCAAAGAAAATTACTCAGGCTGCTCTAGCTGAATTCAATAAATTACCACATGATATAAAAAATTGCAGACATATTACAAAATTTAAAATTGAATTAAAAAAACACATGATTTCATTACGAAATGGATACAATTGATACTTTGTCATCTACTGATTAGTCCCTGTGCCTATTTTTGTGACTTGATCGATTTAGCATTTTTAGATTTGTTTTGATTTTTTGATGTTGTTGTTGTTGTTTTCTGTCATCTTATATTATTTTATTATTGTTGTTTGTAATCAAATTTTATTTCTGACTGGAAGCTGGTTTCTCAATAAACAATAAACAAACAATAAAACACTTTGAGAACAACACTGGGCGAGTGGACTGATAATGAATTATTTGCATTCAATTACTCCACTGTGTCGATAGGAACCTAAAAATTAATTATTGCAACACTTCTCATGCTTTTTTAATGTAAATAATGAGTCTACACGTTGTTCGACATTGTTGAATTTCAGAGCTCATTTCAAACGTACCGTCATGGCCGCCATTAGGCGATACGTCGGATAAATGGTGACGTCAGTTTTAATGCTGTTTCGTTATTGGTCAAATGATCTTCCATTCCTGTTCATGAATAAGCAAGGTTGTCAAGTCACCAATTATAATCAAGTTATCAAAAAGATGTTCCGAGTCCTGTCGTTGAATGAAACATAATAGGATGAACCCACCCCAGGCAACCATATGAGGAATGATCACGTCACTGTGACGTCCCTAATTGGTGATTTTTCGTCAGAGACGTACTTTCTATGACGTGAGAATCAAGTCATTATCTCGACGTCGAGTGAACGTCACTTAGAAGGGTGAAATAAGACGTCAGATTCATGACGTTACAGGGATGTCCTGTCGACGTCCATGTTTCCCAGACCATATCTAAACCATATATACTTACATTGTGAAACCGTTAGTTTTGTGACGTACCTATATATATATATATATATATATATATATATATATATATATACACCTATATCCTATACGAAGT